TCTCAGTGCCTGTTCTAGAATACAGTATTCACATCTTCGTAGATGGAAAGGCAATAAGCGAATGTATATAATAAAGTGCAATAAAGATATGTGTCTTGAAAGAAATATAACTATGTTTTTAGAGTCAGGAGTAGGGGCACCCAATGCAGGTTAACATGAGAGGTTAGCGGTAATTTTTATTACTATGTCTAAATCTTGGAGCATAGACCTAGCTCTGACCATAAGAAATAAGGAGTATTAAATGGATTAATTTGGCATATTGTTTAAAACAACAGATTATGGTTTTACATTGCCCAATTCAAATGTGCACTATTGGAGAAATTATTAAACTCTCTGAATCTTAATTTCCTCATCTAAAATTGAAACATGAAGAATAATGGTAGCAACCTGACATTGTTATTATGAGAACTCACTTGAGAAATATAAATGAAGAGCTTAAGTCATTGCCAGCACCTAGTATGACTATATTAACTATCAAATGTCATACAATTAGGATATTAGATTATACAATATTTCAGCTCTTTACTATTTAAAACTCTAAAACTTTACTAATATTTGTTTTTATTTAAACATTTAAAACTGTACTCACAATGCTAAAAATTTTGAGAGGTATGTAGACTGGTGTGTCATGTTAAAACAACCTATACATTATGAATAATAATTTTTACTAATATCAGCAATTTTGTGTCTGTGTGTGGAAAGGTTTTTGCTATCAGGCACATGCACTCGCCAGAAAGACAGAGAGAAACAAAGAAACAGAAAGCGAGAAATCACCCCCGAAGTGGGATGGCCACATCATAATACCTTCTCCATTCTCCTCTCAGGATCTTAAGCACACACACACACATGTCTGGTGTGAGTTTAAGCCACTGGGTACAGGACTCAAACTGCGGTCAACTACGTGGGAGTCCAGCAACATAGTCATTATGCCAACTGCTGGCCCCAATATCAGTAATTTTGACAAACCACCATATTCATTTAAAATATTCAATATCCATAGAGCAGGGTAGTATTAATTGCTAATTCTATTTTGGAGAAGAAAATAATAATTTTAAAAATCACCTTGTTTTTGTTTTTTAATTGCCAAGGGGCTCTGTCTCTCTTGAGAGAGAGACACACAGAGAGAGAGAATACATAGGATATGGTCACATCACAATCCTTTCTTCTGCATTTCTCCATCCTGTCGGATCTTGGGCACACATACACACACACACACACACACACACACACACACACACCTGCGCCTAGCATGTGTTTCAAGTCACCAGGACTGGGATTCAAACTGTGGTTGCCCATGTGAGATTTGGCTCTCTTAACCACTATGCTATGGGCCCAGCCCTGGGCCTTGATTTTAAAGTAAGTTTTATAAAATGTTCTTTCTGCAATATATGTACTATATTGATCAATTAAATATAACTGAGACAGTCATCTACTTGTGACTCTTTTACTATCTGAATTGCTATATTTAAAATAATTTACGCTTGTTTTCCTTTTTAATTTTATGGATACATCATAAGGAGGTAGTGTATATTTTCTCTTTATTCTAGTTCTTATAGCGGAGTCAAAATTTTCTGAGATTTGTTTCAGCTGTAAGCCAAAAGTTATGAACAACTAGATTGTATTTCTAGTAAGACAGAGTAAAATTGGCTTCATAGGATCTTTGGTATAATACTAGGAATATAATGATTATTATCATTCTATTAGATTAATTGACAACATCACCTTTGAGTAGCTACGTTAGAGTTTCTAAATGTAAAAGGCATTACAAAGCTGAATCCATCCTAGTGCCTTTTCTATTTTAGACTTGATTATATTATACCGAAATATGTTTAGTTCCTGTTCAAGAAATCGTTTGTAAAGCAGATTGGAAATCTTTAGAAATCAACCTCCATTTCAAAATTTTAAAATTCTCATCCTGCTTAGATGTTATATGAGTGACTAAATCTCTTCTTTTTAAAATTTTGCTTCTCTTTTTAATCTGTCTCAAATATGATCAAAAGTATTGCCAACATTGTGGATACTAATCATGAAATCTAGATTCCCTTCCAGCTTGAGGGAACATTCATAGAACATTTACAGCAATAGATTTTTGTACCAAAAAAAAAAAAGAAAAAGAAAAGAAAAAGATTTTTTTTTTTTTTGCTTTTTCTTAAGACCAAGATGGCCTTTAGCTTTAAAACAAGTTAAAGTACACAATATAATTCATGCAAGTAAAATTTTTCTCCAGTCTTTTGAGATACTTGAAAGTAAAACATTTTCTAATTTATAATAAAGGTCAATTTTCCCCCAACATAACATATCTCTGGAAAACAAATAAGGTGGTGTGTGTGTGTGTGTGTGTGTGTGTGTGTGTGTGTGTGTGGTTTTCCTGTAGGGTATGTGTGCTCTCCAGAGAGAAACACAATGCCCACTAACAACTCCTAGAGACAGAGAAAGTGAGAAATCCCCCCCCTCCCCAGAGGAATGGCCATGCCACAACCCCTTCCCCTTCATTCTCTTCCTAGGATTTTGGGCATACCCACACACACGCACACACTGGCATGATTTTCAAGTTGCCAGATCTGGGACTTGAACCACAATTGGCCATTTGGGAGTCCAATACTCTAACAGCCATGTCACCTACTGGTCCCAAAAACTGGCTTTTTAAATTAGTATAATTATACTATACAGAAAAATATAAGTTAGCATATTTACTTAGTTGCTTTGGTTCCAACTACTGAAGGAAGGCAAATATCAAATAGTATGGTTCAAATTTTGCTCCCATTTTTTAAATTTTGTTTATTCATTTTCTATTGACCCTTCCCTTTTACCATTCTTTTATTTTTTTAAAGAAATTTTTTTCTATTGGGTGCATGTGCTCACTGCAGAGACAGAGAGAGACACAGAGAAAGTGAGAAATTACACCCCAGACAGCATGGCCATGTTGCAATCCCTTCTCCATTCTCCTCTCTGGATTTTGGACACACACACACACACACACACACACACACACATGCATGTGCCCGTTGTAAATTTCAAGCTACTGGTTCCAGAACTCGAACTGTGGTCAGCCATGTGGAAGTTCAGCCCCTTAAACACTATACCACCTACTGACCCTCCCCCGTTTACCCTTATTCCCACCCTTATTTCATCTTTCTCTGTCTCTTAAAAAATAATTACCTGTCTAGTATCACACTCTCCATTCTACTTATTTATTTATTTTTATTATTTATCTTTTAGAGAGGTTTTTTTTGGGGGTTTGGGTTTGGTTTTTGTTTTTGTTTTTTGTTTGTTTGGTTGTTTTTTTTTTTTTTTTTTTTTTGCTATAGGGCACATGCACTTGCCAGAGAGATGAAGAGAAAAATGCGAAATCACTCCCCATGGGAAATAGCCATACCACAGTCCCTTCTCCTCCATTCTCATCGTGTAATCTTGGGCATGCATGCACACGCGCCCAGTGTGAGTTTCAAGTCATGGGTCTGGGACCCACACCAGGGTCAGCCATGTAGGAGTCCTGCACCCTAACCATGACACCACCTGCTGGCCTCCACACTTTCCATTTTAGCTATCCCAGAGACTCTACATATAATACCTACAGAGTAAGCCTAACAGTCTCAAGTTCTTTAGAATTTCTTCAAAGTGTTTCTTTTCAGCAACATGCACTCAAAATTTTGTTTTACAGTGATGACCTTATTCTTTGTATGTCACCTAGCTTGCTTCTTCCTCTTTACAAAACTAATCAATATAAAATTAATTTACCTTTGACCTTAAGCCATATAAAGGTTTTCCTTCTGATGTTTTTTTGTCAGAGGCTTTAATAGGCAGTTTTAAAAACAGATAGTGTGCGCACTGACTCACAAGATTACATGCACCCCAGGCATTAGGGAACTCACTCAACTGTGAAATTTAACCCCTCTGTGTAATGAAATGGTACAATTATGATAATGTTTAGAATATTATTTTTTGTACACGTGCATAGAATTTTCATGAATGCTTGTTCCAGAAGGGCTAGTCAGGTTTAAGGGTATGTGTGCATGTGTGTGTGTGTGTGTGTGTGTGTGTGTGTGTGCAGGCATGCCACAAAACAGATATTTTAAGATCATTATCGTACTTCCCTCTTCTCTGTGGGAGATACATTCCAACGGACACCCCCACAACTGGATGCCTGAAACTCCAGACAGTATTACATGAAATACTATGTTGTTTTTCCTCTATATACATTGCTATGATAATGTTTAATTTATAAATGAGGTACAGTAAAAGATTAGCAATAATAATGAAAGATAACAATTACAACAATCTACTATAATAAAAGTTGTGTGAATATGGTCTCTCGCTCTCGAAGTATCTTACTGTGCTGTACTCACCTATATTCAGATAGTGGCTGACCATGACTCATAAATTGTGGAAAGTGAATCTGCAGATGTGTGTGTGTGGTGTGTGTAGGGGAAATGACTATAGCTCCTGCCCAAATGGAGAGAAAACACAATGCCCACTAATAACTCCTAGAATTTATACCTATCAACAGCTGTCATTAGTTAGCATAGTGTAGTGTTCATGGAACGGAAAGCTCTCTTGCCCTGACGTTTTGGTAGCAAGATGTAGTGAAGCTGAAAAATGGAGGCGTTCACTGTGTGTCTGCAGGCCCCTCTGGCAGAATGTCCAGACTCACACTGCCAGGGCATGCGGGGCCTAAATGTGAAAATACAATGTGCACATTTGTGTGGGAACTGCCATCCTGCTAGCCAGGAGAAATTAATGTGTGCCCTTGTGATGTCAGGGTGCTTTTTTAACCATCCTTCAGGTTTATCCTCAAAGCTTCGTTTTCTGTTTTACTGTTTAAAAGAAGGTTTTCACAGTTAAGGAGAATCTTGTAAGGTCTTTAAGACAAAGTATAAAAATGATGAATGAGGGTTATCAAAAGAGCTGAATAAAATGACAGCAGGAAGTTAGGGAACTATTTTTATCTGGTACTCATTCCCATTCACTTTATAAATATTAATGTATTCTGCTGTCTACAGCATGAAGATGACCACAGTCAGTTTTATCTGAACCAACTTCTAGAATTTATGCATATTTGGAAAGTATCCAGGTAAGACACTTTATTTCTGTTCCAGGAATATTTTCTAACTGAGTTCTCAAATGCCAAATCACAATATTTTTCAGTTGAGGGTAAAACTGTCCTTTCACTAGTACTGTGGAAGCTATTGTACTTTTCACAGATAGCTCCCTGTGGCAAATTCTGTTAATAATTATCTGCCCTTCACAGCTATGCAGATGTATTTGAAGAGCTGCTAACACTTTCCAGAACAATCTACCATTCATTTTTTAAAAATCTCCTCTGCCAGTTATCACAGTTTAAAGAATTTATTCTCCTTCATTTCGTGAATTTGGGTGGGCATGTGTCACTAAGCGCTTTGTATAACTAAATTTCCGTACTTCAAAAGTATCCATCTCCTTCTTTAAATTCCTTTCTGGAACTCCCTGAAGATAACTGGTATATTGAGAACAGAACAGTTCGAATTTAAATTAGAAAACTCAAGTGATACCAAATGAACACATCCTAACTGATTCTTATTTCTAAATGATGTACTATCCAGAAGAATAGACCTAAGCAGGAAGCTAAACTGAGAGAAGGTGCCGTGCTCCAATTTGGGATAATCTGGAATTAAAGTTGTCTGGGCCAAACCAGCCTCAAAGACAAGGTGGATGGGATGGTATATGTCACAAACCTTTAAAGCAAAACCTGCTATACAATATGAGTTAAACTTGTTTATAGTGACTTTTAATAATAGTCACCTTGTGGAACTGTTATGTTTATATTTATTATCTCATCTAACTCGTGCTAAAGCCCTGTGAGATATAGTCTTCTACTTCAGAATCAAGGAATCTAAAATCTTGGAAGGTGAAATAACTCTCAAGGCCACTCAGGTGGTTAGAAGCAGGACTGGAATTAGGTCTGTCTGAAATTTGCAAAGGCCATGTACTTTCATTTAACTATTATGTCTTTTCATCCATGCCTCTTTTCTCCTCTCCTCCCACTAAATTTCTGGTTCATACCATAAAATCATAGAATGGCTGGGACTAGAAGGGACTTTAGACACACTCTATTCCAAATTGTCATTTTATACTTAATTCCATGGATCAGGGATAGGTTCATGTTGGGATAGCTTATTAACAAAGGCTACAGTTTCTTTTTCTGTGAAATAAATCTATCTAGGAAAAACAAACAAACAAATAAAAACACACTAAACTAAAAACAGAAGGAAGGCCAGCCATGACAATGCAGCCATAATACAACATTTCACAACCCTGAGACCATGCGAGAAGATTCCTTACCCAGGTCTCTCTGCACACGCAAGGGCACATGCACATCTCCATGTTCCTGATTGGCTGAGGCTGGCAGGGGGTGGGGTGGATCACAGCATGAAAACCCTGTTATGGGTGCCTTTCTCTTTCTCTCTCAGAATTAATAAGTAAAGAAAAGAAAACCTTAGAGAGAGACATCAAAAAAAAACCCAAATCTTTAGAAAGTAGGAAAATCTTAGGGAAAAAAATGACTATTTTGAACTGGTTTCGTGAAAGATTGTTGTGACTTGTGACTGGCTACCTGGGACACAGAGATGCAAGTGGAGACTGTGAGAAGAAGGTAACAGCAAGAAAATGTCCCTTCTGCTGTTTTCTGGTCTTGACCACATGCAGGTACTGATGCCCACAGGGTTAAATCATAGTAAATCCAAAGTTTTACTGCAGTGAAGAATTCAAGGGCCCTCTCAGGGCAACCTGTCTTCAGACTTTAGATCCTCTAACCTCAAGACAGTGGACCATACTCTGGAGAGATGGAGGTGGGGTGGGGGGTGGGGATCAGGTAGGAGAGGCCGCAAATGCCAGTTCCCAGTATTGTTCCTTCTTTAATATAAAACCTAAAACACAGGGATATTCAAACATTTGACAACCATCACATTTAATGCCACAGCCACAGCTAAAGCCAGGTCTGTCTCAGGTAGTGCTTAATCCACTCGCATTGCATTCTGACCGCATCCCTTTTCTTTTTCCAGTGTTATCTAGCATAAGCCTATTCACAACATCACAAAGGCCTGTAGGAACTGGCTTTCTGTGATACAGTGGTGATTTGTTTGCTATTTTCAGACCCTTTAAAGTTATCACCAAAAGATCTAGCCCTAAGAGCTTGAGTGAGGTACGGCAGTAAAACGAAATAACTCTGTGAGGCCACCCTGGATGGAAAAGTTCCCAGGTCATGACCAGAGACCTCCATGGATATGCGGGGGGTGCATATGCCCATGATTAAGGGCTGGCAGAGACTGAGCGTGAATCTCAGAGCCAAGTTGGTGTGGTGGATGCTGTTTTGAACATGAAAACAAGAAGAAACTCTGTTCAAGTAATATAAATGCCCCCTAAGCACAGATAAAGCTAGAGCATAAGAAGCTGAGGAAAGAAAAATGAAGAAGTTTGATGTCAGAGATAAACCTATTTGTTATAAATATTTGCCATTGGTTTCTAATGCGATTCTCTACAAGATTTTTATGTATTTAACATTTCTTGATGTTAATATTTGCCATTATCTGCTTATGAAGCTCTGCAATTTACATTCTGAATAAAAGTTATTTGTTATCATTATCAGCCCTTAAGAGGTTTAATTTGTCATAATTTCTTTGGAGTTCTAAAATGTTCAAATATATTTGTAGTCTATCAAGTTATATGAATAGTATAAGGCAACCATCTAAAATGTTTTTAAGATTTTGTCAATATTGTTTCTTTTTATACCATGCCTACCATCAAATAATGGGCAAGACAGATCTTATAAAAAATGCGTGTGCTAAACCTAAGTTTCCCACCCAGTTTTTCAACAAAGTTATTGCTTTTTCCTTTCAGACAGTGCCTCTCAACAGTACTCAAACAATATGACTTCCACCTGAAATACCTATGGAAAACTCAGGTATTAACTTTTATTACTTTATCTATCAGTTCAAGAAGCATTTATAATTGGCAGAGGGTGAAATACGGAAAATTATTTGTTGACAATAACAAGTATGACTAAGCCACTAAATAGTGTATTCTGGATGGGAACTTGCCTTTTGTATGCTGTGATGACATGTAAAATAAATTAATTTTTAAAAAAGATATTATAAAGAATAAAAAAGGAAAAAAAGCATTTATTAAGCACCAACTGTTTTTCTAAACCTTTGCAACATGTTTCTGCAGATTGCAAAGATGAATAAACCAGAGGGTCTACACTTGGAGGGCTTTTATTCCAAGATGGAAAAATAATCAAGGGAAAAGATGCATGTAGTAAAGGGTGGTAGATGCTCCATGAGACCTGTGTGCACATAGGACACACAGTGGTCTGTTTTGCCCATTAGAGCTGAATGTTGGAAAATAAGTACGTGGTTTCCATCCAGAGAAGAGGTATTGTGAAGGAAGGTGAGGAGTAGGGGTAACTTTCGCCAAATAATATAAACAGAAACAAAAAGATTAGGTATGATTAGGAAACTGTATTCAATTGGAAATGGCTAAAATTAGGGTTTAAGGTGAGAACCTGGAAAAAGACCAGATGAAAGGGACAGACAGGAGCCAAATTATGTAGTATCTTATGTACCTCTAATAGCCCATTTAATGATTTTCTAATTTATCAGATGATGACATGGAACCATTATGCACGTTAACAGAATAACTGAAGGAAGATGAGAGGAGCAGTTCTTTAGCTCAAAAAGATGATGAGGGCATGGGCTAAAGCTCTGCTATTGGGATGGATATGGGTAGACATACCCACAGCAGGTGAAAATACACAATTTATGTGACTTGGCGAGACTGTGAGGAGTAACAGAGGAAATGGGTGCCTAGAACACCTCCAGATTCTTGGAGACAACAATTTGTTAAAATATCGAAGACTCTTGCTTCACAGGGGAAAATAATCAGTTCAGTCCAAGGCTACTGAAATGTGGTCACCTATTGAGCAACCAAGTTGTGATCTCCACTAGGCAGATCATTTATCATAACTTCCATTCCAGAGAAGGGTTAGACTTCCACAGATGAAACACCAATTATCACAGAAAATTGTTTGAAACAGAGATATGTTTTAAACAAGTGAGGACTTCTTTATCCATTAAGTAATTGACTTCTGACATACATAAGAGGATATACACCTCAGGTAACTTGGTTCCAAATATTAATGAACACTAAAGGGATTTGAAAATAATAATTATATTTTTAATGTAAATAACAACTCATATGTGAATCCCACACAATTATCTAAAGACATGTGGATAACAAATACGTGACTCACATTTCTTCTTGGAGTACAATCCTCTCTCTTGAATTCCATCTTTCTTTTTTGAGCCTGCCCTCAATCTGGAAGTTTAAGATGTGGGATGTGAAAAGAATCCACAATTAGATTGGTTTAAGTCTCATGATAGAGTCATAATTAGTACCTCTCTCAGCTTGATTCCTCAACCTTATGATAGTCATTATCTCTAGTGTAGAATTTTAAATTTACCAGGTACCCATGACACTTTAAGACTTCGTTCCTCGCTCATGTGTCTCTTGTCTATATAAAGAAACGCTTCTGAGGTTATGGTAACATACTTACTGGTACGTTCTATTATGTAAATGTCTCAGCTCATGTATTATAGACATCTTTATTTTTACACACACGCAAACATGCACACATATACGTTGCTGAGAATGTGTAACAGCTCTCAATTCCCAAATTCCGAAGTTTGATTATGTTACTCAAATATGAAGCCTCCAATCGTTCTACTTTGAATGATGCTATTGACAATTGTCAATTTTTTCAGTATGACTTAAAAGTTGGCAAAACACCAGAAACATACTGAAATAGTCTTTTTAGCATTATCCCAGACAAGTAGCAATCATCACTCACAACTCCATTATTTTTTAAATAGACAACAATGTCGCAGTTCTCTAGATGAACTCATTCCAAAACAATGAACTGTTTAAAGAATATTTTTTTTCTATGAAGCATCCGTAGTAAATAGCTGAGGAACAGAAATGGACTATGATATCATCAATTCACAATTTTGTGCTATTTACATGACAAGTACATTAAGTAGCATTTCATTAATGTTCAAAATAGTTCAATTAGGAAAATAGTATTTCTATCATACCTCTCAAACTTGGATTACTATATATGGAGCTGAAAAAATAACAAACATGCAGATGAATTAGTATGATAGAAAGGAATTTAAGTTACCAATTTTTTTTTTTCTCAGAGTGATTGTTTTAGCACATTTTAGACTCGACTCATTGCAGATTGGGTATTCTGGCTATTTGTTAAATGGCTAGTTTGGCAGGTAATTTACATAGAGCCTTTTCATGGGCTGTACTTGTTCTATTCCATTCATGCCTTAAATTGTAAGAAATATTTTCTGTATTCATTCTGGATTCTGTATTCATCTCCAACTTTTCAAAGACATTAAGAATAGAAGAGAAAGGCAGAAAATTCCACATATAAGTAGAAAGAAAGGAGCACATAGAATTTTATAATACACATTTAGTACCTTTTTTAGAACTAAAGCCCTTGTAATACAAGTGAATCTCTTGTTGGATTTTTTGGAAGTTCCAGTTTCAAACATAATTTAAACAGTGGCAGTAAGAAGACAGAATTGAGGAGTCGAAGATTCCAAAGACAGATAAAGGCATCTGTCCCCTCCGCCACTGTGGATGTTTTTTATTCTGCCTTTCTAGAGATTACATTATTCACCACCGTAGTGAAGATAATGAAGCATAATACAATGATATGTTTAATAATTAAGAAGGCGGTTGTAATATGCTTAATGTAGTATAGTGAGTGAAGGGTAAAAAGTGTTAAATAAAGTAAAAAGTTTATTTCTACTGTTGCTACTATTTTTATCACTATCACATAAATAGAGAATTGTATGGGATTCTGAAGAAAAGTGTCACAAAATTGATTTGCATTCACAGTAGAGAAGAAGAAAAACTGAGAAAGGACCAAAAAATTGCAAGAAAACAGGATAAAATAAAAGGTTACAAGGACCAGTTGAAATGTCACAAAAGGAGAAGTCAAGGAAATAAAGGAGATAAGTAAGGTCAGGCCACAGGAAAATAAAGTACAATTGCAGAATTGAAACCTAAAGGGCAGGCTGAAATTACTTAAAGTCAAACCTTCTATATATAGAACGCTCCCAGACTTGAAGTATAAAAAATGAAAAGTAAAACTAGATCTTAAAAATGGAAGATAATCACTGTTTAGTGTAGTTTGTGTTCCTAGTGAGATAGAAAACACTGTAGCATTTTTTCCATTGGACTAACATGATTTCTAATTTTTTTTTTGGATTATGCACAGTGGCATATGATACACAAAAAATATGTAATAATATAAATATGTATTGAAGAAGAATAATAGAACAGGCACTCTTGTTAAACAATAAGTTAACAAAATATTGCAAGTATCTGGGACCAGCAGTTAGCCTAATGGCTGTGTCGCTGGACTCCCCCATAGTCAACCGCAGTTCGCGTCCTGGACCCGGTGGCTTAAAACTCACGCCGGATGCGTGTGCGTGCATGCCCAAGATCCCGAGAGGAGAATGGAGGAGAAGGGATGGCAGCGTGACCATCGCTCCTGGGGTGATTTCTCGCTTTCTGTCTCTATGTCTCTCTCTGTCTGTCTGGCAAGAGCACACGCCCTATAGCATGTAGTTTGTGTTCCTAGTGAGATAGAAAACACTGTAGCATTTTTTCCATTGGACTAACATGATTTCTAATTTTTTTTTTGGATTATGCACAGTGGCATATGATACACAAAAAATATGTAATAATATAAATATGTATTGAAGAAGAATAATAGAACAGGCACTCTTGTTAAACAATAAGTTAACAAAATATTGCAAGTATCTGGGACCAGCAGTTAGCCTAATGGCTGTGTCGCTGGACTCCCCCATAGTCAACCGCAGTTCGCGTCCTGGACCCGGTGGCTTAAAACTCACGCCGGATGCGTGTGCGTGCATGCCCAAGATCCCGAGAGGAGAATGGAGGAGAAGGGATGGCAGCGTGACCATCGCTCCTGGGGTGATTTCTCGCTTTCTGTCTCTATGTCTCTCTCTGTCTGTCTGGCAAGAGCACACGCCCTATAGCAAAAACCTCTCCAAAAAAAGAAAAAAAGTAATAAAAAAATATATTGCAAGTATCATAACACCTTATCTGTGTGCTACTTCACCTCTCTTCTGTACATAAAAGCTACACTTTAGTGATAAATATTTTATGCTTTTTCTTTACCATTTCATCACCAAAATGTGCATTAGTTAGCAATATAAAGTTTTAAGTTTTTTTAAATGTCTGCCTAAATGAAATAACACTATATGCATATTTTGGGTACTGTATCTTTCACTTAATAGTGTTTCTGAGATTCATAAGCTTGGTTCTGTTTAGCTATTATTTGTTCATTTTCACTGATGTATAGTACTCCACCAGAAGAATGAACCTCTATTTATGTATCTTTTCTACCGTTGGTATACACTTGAATTAATAGCAAGTGTTTTTACGAGGTATCTGCCTAGGGTTGTAGATTTACAAGGTATATCAGATTTGTATATAGTCAGACTCCATAGTTCACCATATGTTAGAATTCCCAAGGCTTCATTTTTCCACCAATGTGTGAAATGGTTCACCTTTTAACTGTTTGCCAACATGAAGTATTCATATTATAATGATATTTTAGCTTTATTTTAATTTTCTTTTTAGTAAATTCATGGTTCTTTGCTTCTTCTTTAATGTTTCTTATTTATAGTTAATCATTTTACATCTTTATAGTGTATAATATGATTTCTCAAAGTGTGAAACAATAAAATCAAAGATAGTACCATATAATTTTCTACAGGGAAGTTTGTTTACATTCGTATGTCTGTTATTTATTTTATTTTTTTCTGAGCTATTCTTTTTCACTCCCTACCCTTTACTCGT